GCCCGGACGGGAAGGGATGGAGGAGAGGCCTTGGTTCATAAACCCTGGGGCAGCCGATCCCGGTGCCCCGCCAGGCCTCTGAGGAGCACCTGAAACGGCAGGAATGAGCAGAAATCCCCGAGTGGTGGATGAGATGTATCAGAAGCTCCATGGCAGTAGCTGTCCCGGTAGGGCAGAAGCTGTGGGGTCGCATCGCTGAGAACGCCAGAGCAGCACCGAAGGAACGGCAGGACTGGGGCAATGGAGGCCTGGCTCCGAGCAGGGCAGGGAGCGGCGGGCTCAGGATCCCGGGAACTCGAGAAAATGGTGATAGGTCCCTCTTTTAGTGAGGTCGGTGATCATAAGGTCCTGGGTCAGTGGCTGCTCTCACGAGCAGAGGCTCATCCCCACAGCAGAAGAAAAGCTCCAGGCTGGGTTATGGCGGTGGCAGTGAATTCCCTCCGAAACCAAGACAGAGAGAGCTCACAGCTGCCCCACACCCCATCCTCTACCTGCCCAATTCTCAGGTAGCTCTGCCCCTCAGAGAGAAACTCCTCAGATGAGAGAAGTGCAACCAAATGACCTCCTTCCCTCTGAGCTTGGCCACTTTGTTTTCTTTACCCAGTAGTTAGTGTGTCCTAGCAACTTATGGGAAAAATTCTATAGGTAAAAAGGAGCAAAAGAAAAGAAACCTAACCCACAACACAGTGTTTGTCCTCTAACGTGGCTGTCCAACTGCATCACCTGCTCGAAGCTACATCAGCACAGTGAGGGCAGTATCTGGGCCTGTAACATTTAGTTAATCAAACTGTGTTCCTGTAGCAGAGCTGATACCTTTCTATCCCCTCCCTAACCTTGGTGCTGGAGGAATAAAGCAACTCAAACTAGTCAGTTGCTGCAATTCTGAAAACAGATCTTCTGTGCACCAGCTTGCCATCTGCACAATCACCCTTTTCCTCTTCAAGTAGCAAACAGTCAGAAGATGCCGAGCCCCCTCTGTGTTGCAGAGGGAAGAATCCCAGACATGGCTTTGGTAGCTGAGACCTGCTGATTTTTTTAACCCATTGAAGTATTTTCTAAAGATGCTCTTCTTTCCATGTGCTTGGCTGGTGTTATGGTGACCAGAAGTGAATATATCAAGTTACTGGTATGGGAGTAGCCCTGCCAGGAAGCCAGAGGGCACAGTCAGTGCAAACTGTTTTTAGATGCCTGAGCAGGCACAGCTCTAAGTTGGGTGCCTGCTAAGTTAATAAAAGGACTAAACATTATTTCTCCTACCGCCTCTGTGTGGATAAAATACAGCCTGTATCTGAGGCAAGCCTTACTCCTGGGCTGATGTCACACTTGACTAATTGGCCCTTACAACATTGTGTAAATATCAATATTCTAAAACTACAGTTAGAATTTTTGAGCTTGAGTTCTGCTAGAATTTGAGGAGAGGACTTTTGAAAAACTGAAAGGGGAGAAACTAAGAAAAGAAGCTAACAGAGAAATGCCCCAGCATGAGAAATTTTTATGAACAAAATGTGATCAATTCATTCTCAAAGTTAAAACAAATGAGCAGAGGGAAAGTTGCCCCTACTTCCTTTCTTCTTAATGCTCAAAGAGATCTGTTCCTTGCTTCATAAAGTAAAGAAGATTATTTGAAAAAATACCAGGAAAAATAGTTAGGAAGGTGACCAGACAATTTATTTATTTTACCCTTTGCACGGTGGTATAAAAGATCCAGCTGTAAAGTGTACTGGTTTGTAAAGTGAGCCACTCCACTAGAAATTGTTCAGATTAAAAATGTGGAAAAACCCTGAGCACCATCCTAAATAGTAAAGCCCAGTATTTTATTAATTATAAGTCCCATGCTTTCCTCCTATTCCCAGTTCAATAAGTCATAAAGTGGCAGCTTTTAGGTAAATTTCTATAATTTCACACGTGATATTTATTAAAAAAGGTTTTTAAATACGTGGGTCATCTCTTAGGTCCACTTAAAAACAGCTGAGGACCGGAAGTGCGCTCTTGCATTGAAATTCATACCTTTTTTTCTTTTTTCTTTTGAATTGTTAGAGCAATGTTAGAAATCTGATAGTGTGGGAACAGCTGTTTCTTGGCTGTACATGGTATTCATTTGTAAGAGTAGTGAAACAGAATTGTTCAACTAATTAAGAGAAGACCATAACCACCACTGCTGACTCATTCACTGCCATGCTCCTCTGACATGGGAGCTGCTCCCCACCTTTTCCTCCCACCCTGCTCACAGGTTGTCTGCCCAGGGACCAGGTTCTCTCACCAGCTCTCTGGCTTCATCCCCATCTCACTGGTACCTCTCTCAATAGCCTAATTTTGGCTCTGAGCTACATCTAGTGCTTAGATAGGATAAGATTTCAGCCAGATGGATTATGAACAACATTTTCTTTTCAATGCTCTCAGCTCCAACCCCACAGAAGGTTGCTTTAGCCCAACAGAATAAAGGCCCAATCCTTCAGACAGCTGAGCCAGTTGCCTTACTTTAGCACACAGTGTAATTATTATGCATGTTCCACAGCACACAGGCATTCCACTCACAGTCAGGGCAATTTAAAGGAACTTTAGGGCATCAGGTTGATAGGTGAGGAGTGCAGGCAGTGTTCTGCTCAGTCCCTTTGGTGGCAGAGAAAAATGGTGAAAGGAATAGGAGAGCCCACATTGTCAACAAATGGCTCAAAGGTTGGTGTCATCAGCAGAATTTTGGGTTCTTTGATCACGAGGCAACTTTTATAGCACCTGGCCTGCTGGAACTGTATGGGCTGAATCTCTCTGTTAAAGGCAGAAGAATTTTAGCTTATGAACTGGCAGAATTCATTCAGAGGGCTTTAAACTAGGTTTGAAGGGGGAAGAGGATGCAGCTGGGCTGTCTGGAAGCAGGCCCAAGGGTGGTAAGCCTGAGCTAGGGGTGAAATCAGTAGCCCAGCTGAGGTGCATGTACACCAATGCACACAGCATGGGTAACAAAAGAGGAGCTGGAGGCCATGGTGCAACAGCAAAGCTGTGATGGAGTCACTATTCCTGAAACGTGGGGGAAAACTCACCCAGCTGGAGTGCTGCACTGGATGGCTACAAGATCTTCAGAAGAGACAGGAAAGGGAGAAGAGGGGGAGGGGTGGCCCTTTATATTAAGGAGGCTTTTGACACCATGGGTATTGAAGCTAATGATGATGAAGTTGAATGCCTGTGGGTAATAATTAAGGGCAAGGCCAGCAAGGCTGAGATCCTACTGAGGGTCTGTTATCATCCACCCAACCAGGGAGAAGAGGTGGACTACTTACTCTATAAGCAGCTGGAGAATGTTTCAGCATCATCAGCCCTTGTTCTTGTAGGTGACTTTAAGCTGCCAGACATCTGCTGGGAACTTAATAAAGCAGAAAAGAGGCAGTCCAGGAAGTTTTTAGAGTGTGTGGAGGACAACTTTTTGTTGCAGCTGGTGAGTGAGCCCACCAGGGAAGGGACTATGTTAGATCTGTTGTTTGCAAATAGAGATGGGCTGGTGGGAGATGGGGTGGTTGGAGGCTGCTTGGGGCACAGTGATCATGAAATTATAGAGTTCTCAATATTTGGTGATATCAGGAGGAACATCAGTAAGGCTTTTACAGTGGACTTCCTGAGGGTAGATTTTGGCCTATTTAGGAGACTTATTCAGAGAGTTCCTTGGGAAGCAGCCCTTAAAAACAAAGGAGTCCAGGAAGGGTGGGCGTGCTTCAAAACAGAGATCTTGAGGGCACAGGAGCCTGTGTGCTGAAAGATGAGTCAATGAGGCAAACATCCAGCCTGGATGGGCAACGAGGCTTTGGAGGAACTTAGGAATAAAAAGAGGGTGTATCATCTTTGGAAGGAGGGCCAGGTTTCAGGAAGTATTTAAGGGGATTGCTAGGGCATGTAGGAAAAAAATAAGGGAGGCCAAAGCTCCGTTCAAACTTAATTTGGCAACTTTTGTAAAGGATAATAAAAAATGTTTCTACAAATATATTAATGGCAAAAGGAGGGGTAAGACCAACCTTTGTTCTCTATTGGATGGGAGGGAACTTAGTAACTGCAGATGAGGAGAAGGCAGAAGTGCCTAATGCCATCTTTGCCTCGGTCTTTAGTGGGAAGATGGCTTGTCCTCAGGACAACTGTCCTCATGGGCTGGTAGATGGTGTCAATGAGATTTAGTCCACCATGCTTTATGAGTAATTCTGCAACCATATATTCATGCTGAGGAAAGCTTTTCAGTGAGATTCTTTTCAAGATAAGTCTCTGCCAGCTATTGAAAGTGCAATCATTACGGAGTCACTAACATTTTCCTGCTCCATGTCAAATGCATCACAAATCTACCCATCTTTGTCAATCATTTAAAGTGTAGCAGACAAAAATAATATACTTAGAATTATTATTGGAAGAATTTATGTTCTCTTATGACGTGGAAGTGATTTTGATATATGAACAGCACGGGGAGGAACTGCCAGTATGAAAACTCACACCAGACCTGTGTGTAATATTCTTGTCTCACAGGAAGTAGTGGGAGTAGTATGTGAAAAAGAGTTGTTCACAAGTCAGAATCCTTAGGAGCTCTCTAGGTGACTCTTCCTGCATTTTGTGATATTCTGCTAAGAGAAAGTTCCTCTTACCCCTTCTTGAGTCTTTTTATGTCACAAACTGTGCACACAAAGGCACGTGTGTAACAGCTCACATTGGTTGCTCAGGAAAGGATGTAGAGTAGGATCGGGTATAAAGCAAAGGTTCCACTCATAATGGTGGTTACAACTACAAATCTCAGTGTAAAATAATGATAATTATTAAAAGAATTCTTAAAACTGTCTCTATTGTTGAAGGCTGATTTATCTTTCCACACTATAATGAGATGAATACCAGACAAGCCTTTGCATTGCCTTTACTCACAGCTTAACTGGAATCACAGTTTTCATAATGAAATATACAGCCTGCAAAAAATTTGTATTCCAAGTGTGTGCACAGACCCTGTTGTTCCAGGCTGTACTTCTTTCCCAAAGCGTGCACTGACAAGCTCTTCAGTGTGTTTATAACTGTACAACACTGTAAGCCAGCTGATGTTTATTATTGGCTGTGCAATAGGTCAGTGCAGACTTTCACCACAACAAGGTATGTTCTGGTACAGGCTGTGCCTGAGGGGCACTATCCCTTACAGATCAGCTTAGTGGGGAGAGGAACCTGCATCTTAATAGGGATGTGCTGAGCACCCACCTCAGCCTCAGGGGAAAGCAGGTAAAGTGGCAAGTCCTGTCCTTGTAGTCTC